GATCTGGTCATAGCACTGTGCAAAACCATGTGCTTGCACAGAAAAACAATACTTGAGGCATTGCTTCTGATGGTGGATAGACAGATGACTCTCCCCAGCAGTCACTTAGAGACTACTAAAACCAATTGGTTATCTTCACAGCATAAGCCACTGTAGACAGTTTCTCTGTGTCCCGGCAGCTACTCCCAAATACCATACAGAGGCTTATTATTCATTATAAATGTTTGGCCAATAACTTAGACTTGTTATTAACTAACTAGCTCTTACAACTTAAATTAACCCACATGGTGCTACCTTCTTTAAGTATGGCACATTCATCTTCCTTCTCTCCGTGTCTCCTCCTCCTTCTTCTTCCCAGCATTCTCTTAATCTGGTTCTCCTGCCTAGCTATAGGCCAGTCAGCTTCTTTATTAAACCAATCACAGTGACACAGTCACACACCACAAGCCACTGTATGACAGGAGAACAAGGTGCTGTGACTTAAGCTCTCCAAGAAAGCAGCCTGGGCTCATTCATGTCATCTGCAACATGGATAGGTTTCTATTCCCACTGTCAAGTCTGGCAACAATTGCCATCTCTGGGCATCAGAGCCTTCGAGGAATTGTGTTATTTTCATCTCTTACTTTAGACACTTCTGTGCATTTTTAAACTAGGAAGCATCTGCCATTAACAAGTATGAAGAATGTCTGCTCCCCCCCACCCCATGAGTGTGTAGTGGGGGTGGGGGGAAGCTGGTAACCTGTCCTGCTGCCCCTTCCTTCCCTGAGAAGTTTCTGTACTAGCTGCCTGTGCTCCTCCCTCCTTCCTCCTGGCTAGCGAGATAGTTGTGTCTCTGTTTTAGTTGGTCATCACAGTTGCTTGGGTAGCTAACGCTTGGCTCTTGGTAGCTTGGTACCATTGACTCCTTGCATTTCAACACTCAGTGAGGGGCAGAGTGACAGACCTCAGGACCCTGCAGACTCAGGTTTCTGCCACCTGGTGGCCCTCTCCCCAAGGTAGCTGTATAAAAGGTTTCTGCTTCTACCAAGCATTTCTTGCAGAAGAAGCTCCTGCTGAACAGGGAAAGGGTACTAGGGCCGTAGGAAATGGCTTTGGTGTGAAAAAGTCCAAGTCCAGTGTTCTTTGCCCATTTGTCTGTACAACCTATGTCTTTTCTCTTGCTTGTGAGCAGCCAGTAGGGCTCTAGAAAGAAGTGGGGTGAACTCTCAGAAATGCCAGGATGGACCAGAGTTATCCACCTTGACTTTCTTCTAGGAAGGGTTGGGAAAGCGGCACATAGTCTCTGGTCCCATCTGGGTGTTTGGCATTGAAAGACTCCCCCACCTCTAAAAGCTAGTCAACAAGAGTATACAATCTGCCAGTCAGCTTAGTAAGGGCCAGGAAGACAGATGGGCAGGAATTGGGGTATTATGTGGGAGTGGGTGGTGAGCTGGCATTTCAGGTAGTGATGCTGAAGGGTGCCTGCCTGGAAGAATGGAGGGTGAGATGAGCATTGAGTCAAATTGAGCCAAGCAACTCAGGAAACCTAAATAAGATCCTAGGAATGCTAAGCAGGGCCACACCCTTTGAGATCCTCTGGCCCCTGGGAGGAGTCTGGAAGCCAGTGAGTGCAGTGGGCAGCTTTGCTCCACCATGTGCTCCCACCAGCGCACACGCCATCGTGTGATCCCTCACATGTTCCCATCATGTGTTTCCATCTCCGGCTCCCACCACATGCTCCCACCTCAACATAGGCCCAAAGTAGAGAGGCCAAAACCGTAAGCCCGAGTAGCACCTTCCTCCTTTCACGTCATTATCTTGTGTGTTCTGTCACAGTAGACGAGTCACACACCTTTCCAGACCAAGAAAGGGAAGACCTGTGATTGGAGCCCAGACTCTTGGGCTATGAGCAGGGGCTGTGGGGAGCACACTGCTCTGTGAAGCAAAGGTCAAGCTTCAAAAGCTCTTGGCCCTTCAGACCCAAGTGCTTCCTGTCTGAGTGTGGCCTCCTGAGGCAGGTAGCACTGGCTCTCTCTAATCTCTCATGAGGACCCTCACTCAACCATGCATACATACAGGAGCACTGAGGGCCTGCTTCCGAACAGGTACCAAAAGACCACAGTGGGAGAGCAAAGTCCAAGGCTTGAGTCCTAAGGCATGGTTTGCAGCTTTCCCCAAGCCCTGTCTGTGGTCTGTGGTCTGTGGTCTGTGGTCTGTACCTGGGTATGTGTGCATTGTGTACCCCTAAGAATATGGTGCTACCCACTCTGTTTTCAGAGAGAGGAACTCTTCTTCCTGCCTTAGCCCCCTGAATGCTGGGATTCTGGGTCTCTGCTGCCTTGGCTGACACTCAAATATGGCTGAGATGGTGTGTGTGTGTGTGTGTGTGTGTGTGTGTGTGTTATAGATGCTTGTGAAGGTCTGCCTGAAGTCACACGGCTCTTGTGTCCGGCCCCTCCCTTTCAGTCTTTGTGTGACCGTGTGTTCGAATGCGCTGCAGATTCTGTCTTTGCTGTCTTGGCGGCGTTAAGCTGGGGTGGCTACTGAGCTCGCCTGTTGTCTTCAGTTCATTCTTCTGTGTCCAGGAGCGTTGCTGTGGTAACCAGTGCTGCCTGTCAGTGGAGAAGCTCTGTCTGTGACTGTATCCATAGGCAGTAGCCAGCTCCAATATGCTGCAACCCTCAAAACAAGCCAACCTCTGTCTTCCAGGTCCTCACCTCTGGTGCCCTCATGAGCCCTCTAGGTCCCACCAGGCATTCATTCTTAGTCACTGAATGCTTATTATCCTAACCATGTCCTGGGCTCTGGGGACCCAGCAGCAGCCTCACAGATGCCTGTTCCATAAGCCTCCCCCTTCCAGCCTCAGAGTGGCCTGCACCACATGTGTTTGTTAGTTCTCTGGGTCACTGTTACCCTGTTGCAGCTTCTACTTGACCAATAGAGAAAGATAGGCAGAGAGAGGTTAAGTGGGCTGCTCTAGAACACACAGCCAGTGTTAAACCCAGGAAATTCCATCATCTGTCTGTCTGTCCATCCGTCTGCCCATCCACACTCCCATTCATCTATCCATTCACCCACTTGTCTATTTATCCATGCATCCATTCATCCACTCCATTTTCCCAGTTACACGCCTATCCATCCAAACACCTAAATAAAAGAGAACAATTAAAAATACGTTCAAGGGAAGAAATCAGCCATCCAGCCATGTTTATTTGTCATGCTGTAACCCAGGTGGGGAACTGGACATGACCTAGGCACTGAGGGGGCTCCCAGCACACAGGCCACAGGGCTCAGGGTTGTGGTCTCACAGGTGTCTGAGTTTCACCAGCAGCTGTGGCAATAGAGTTCAGCTGTGGCTCAACACAATCAAAATGGTTCCCTGCTGTCTACCTTGCACACCAACCACAAATATAGACACCCAGTAATCCCCCTGGAACCACAGATGCTCAGGCATCCAGCTTCATACACATGATCTGATCTCCCAGGCGCGTGGGGATACACACAAGCACACCCACATGTGAGCGAGCACTCTGGAGGTATTTCAAAGTGCTGGCACAGGAGTGTGTAAATGTGCATGCCTGCCCACAGGTGGAAATGCATGTGACACACATGAAAATAGCCCCAGCCTTCTGGAGGGGCTTCTGGTTGAGAGACTCAGGTACAGCTAGCTGGGTCTGCTGCAGAGGGGCCACACCCACCATTTACACTGTGGTTGGCCAAGGATTCTTAGCTTCCTCCTTGCCCCTCCTTTCTGATCCCTTCTCTGAGGATGGCACCTCAACTGTAGGCGGTGGCTGGCTGGGCTGGTTGGGGTATCAGCATCCCTGAGCTGACCTCTGCCTGATGATGAATGCCAGGTCCTACTGATGATCACAAAATGTTCAAGACACTGACTCATCCACCACTGTAGCTCATCCTGAGGTCGCCTTCTAAAAGTATCATCCAGTGACCCCATTCCAAGGACTGAGCTTAGCAAGCTAAGGCTGGGAGATATTTCCCTCTCATTTAACACAGATGATAGTCCATCCCAGGCATCTGGGAACCTCTATGGCTCCCTTGGCAAATGAAACTCCAGAAGCCAGCTGCATGAGGGTCCCCAGGGGACCTAGCCACACACCTGGCCTCGTCCTCCTGCCCCTGAGTGAGTACCAGTGTTAAGGAGAAGCATGGGCTGTGGGGCAACACAGGCAGACGCCATATAAATAAAATATCCATAGAAAAATAGTCTCTTAGAAACCCTCATATCCAGTGGTTCACTTTCCAGAGATGGAAACTGCTGGGAGTTTATGGTTCCTGTCCCCTCACCTGCACTGTCCCAATGGGACTCTTCTAACAGTGAGGTTTGAACTGTGGAGGGCAAAAGGATGGGGGCATGTCCTGGAGAAAAACTACTCCAGATATGGACCAGCTTAGATTCTGGATAGGTAGCAGCAAACAGCAAAAACAAAACAAAAATACAAATGTTTGTGCATATATATCTATATGTGTATAAAGACCGTCTTCTCTTTGTACTTAACATCTAGTGCTGCAGAAGGGTACTTGCAAAGTCAACTAGTAGAAACATCTGCATAAAGAATAATTATGTACAGTTGTTCACAGCTCCCAGTCCTAGTGACAAAGTCACCCCACCAGGACCTCAAGCAGTCCACTTTGATTGCAGAAAACGGATCCTGACGAAGTGGAAGAATTCTCTTTAATTAAATAAATTAATATTATTTTTATCAGAATAAATTGTTAAATATTGCTATGACGAGGCCCGAGGCTCCAGAGTGCCTGCCGCAGAAAACTTTGTTCCAGCTGTGGAAGGGGCCCGGGCGGTGTCTGGGGGAGGGCAGGCGAGCAGCATCCATGTGGAATAGAACGGGCAAGGCCCCTGAGATTCTTCCCACAGGAGCCTGCAGGGAACCCAGAATACCCCTCCCCCCCCAGCAGAAAAGACAAGGTCGGTGCTTGTGTGAGTATCCAGGCAGTGGCTGCCGGGGAGATTGTGTCCTGCCTGCGTTCTGACCTGTGACCCCTGTTCACTTACACGTGTACATCTCCGTGCGCTCACTGCACGTGTTGCACTTGACGTAGCAGCACCAGTGGAACTTGCAGTTGCACTGCCACACTCGGGCGTACTGGTGTGTGTTGTAGCCGCGGCCGCAGCACATGAGGTCACAGCCACTAGCCTGAGGGGCTGTCTTATTGCAGGCGCGGCCCTGAGTACCCACACTGCCTGTCACTGGGTCCTCTTCACAGTAATTGGGTGACTTCTCAATGTACACCAAGTCGGTGTCCATGGGCTTCCGGTAGGACAGGGGCTTCTTGATCTTCAGGAAGGTGGGCCGCTTGTTCCGGCTGGCGCGCACTGGTTCCACGTGGACGGCCTCGTTGTATTTGTCTTTGAGCACGTAGCCTAGCTCTCGGAATTGTGGCAGCGTGGTCCAGCATGTCTTAGTGGTACAGGAGCCAGACACCCCATGACACTTACACTCCAGCTTCATGTTCTCCTCCAGGATCTGCAGGGCCAACAGGGAAAAGCACAGAACTTGTCACTGTGGCTCACGACCAAGTGCAGGCCCAGCCCACCCTCCAGGCCCTCTCAGCCAGCTATGGCTTTCATTTTCTCCTTTTGGGCCTGGATTCCAGTTCCTCTGCCTCCACAGCCTTGATGCCGTGCTCTCCCTGGGTGTGTGTGCCCTGTTTACTCTCAACTTCTTTATGCTCTGCTCCCCCAATTTGGTGCCACCAGCCCAGCTCAGGCCAAATGCACATTGGTGTAAGATCAGTTTTGAACCGTGTTTACAACACAGGAGGGTCCAGTTTAGAAGATGGGCTTTTCAGATTCCTTGCCAAACCCGTAGCATCTGTCAACACTGGGTGAGGACAAAGTCCTGCTTCAGCTGGACTGGTGTAGACGCACCCCCAAAGTCAGCACAGCTATCTATGGTGTCCTGGAGCAGCTGTGGCTTAGACACTGCTCAGGGGCCCTTGGCAATAGATCCCTGAGCTGAAGACTGGGCTCCAAAGCTCTAGTGGCATAGTGGCCACCCCTACCCCACCCCCACCCCACATCATGCAACCTGCCTCTCCCCTTAGGCCTCTCCTCTCTGCAGCCACTGTTGGCCTGGGGCTGTGGTGACCTTGAATGGGCCCTTAATCAGGTGACATTCAGCCTAGCTCTGCTAACTCTGCACTCTGAAAGTCTCAGAGATCTCACTGTATTCAGCATAGTCGAAACTGCCCTGGACAGGACTGGTCACCCATAGGGCACCCAGAGGTACTGACAGAGGACAGCAGAGAAAGTGTGTGCAGGTCACATCCTTTCATCCTGGCTCACACCTCCCGAGGTCAGGCTGAATCCTGGCTTCTTCTGAGCTGCAGGATTCCCAGCCCTCTCCCATGCTCCAGGTCAGACAGGTTGAAGCTTCGAAATCCCTAAAGTGATCTATCTCCAGCGCCTTTCCCGGGCTAGCCCCCAGCAGGCACTCAGAAAATGCCCCGAGAGCTCACCAGAGGGACATTTGAACTACTTCCTATCAGGTCACACCTCTGGGTCCCAGATTAAAGGAGGGTGGACAGGCATGCTAGGGTCTGCCTCTCACACCAACACTTCACACAGCCAGAGGGAGATGAGAAGGAATAAATACGCATCTGGGCCTAGCCTCAGCTGACTGGCCCTTGGAAGATGCTGAGGAGTTACTGCCCCTGCCAGATTTCCACCGGACCCCACGGGAGCTTGTGCCCCTACTCTCAAAAATCCCCGCTCCTGCTGGACGTTTTGTCTGGGTTCCATCAGGCCTCCAGGCCCAGGCAGTGAGCCACCCTTTTAGACCCACTGATTTTGTTCTGTGGACTAAGACACTCATTTGAATACTTCTGTTCTGATTCAGTTCATATGCCAGAAAAAATTCTACCTCCTCCAGGAAGTTTCCCCTGATTATCAAGGTGGGCTCCTGACTGTCTCCTGAACAATGTTGAGCCATCCATATATCATGGTCTCCATTAAGGCAAATCTCTTTGGGACACAGAGGAGCTCTGCCCTAGGGGCCTGTCTCAGGCCACTTAGAGCCAGAGGGACAAGTACCTGGCCATTCCAATGAGGCAAAAAGCACCTACTCCATAAAGATCCTCAAGGATTAGTGTCTACCTGTCTCCTACAGAGTTCAGATCTGAATCCCCCTCTCAAGCCTCATCTCCCAGAGAACCCCAAGTGGGACAATCATCACTCCACAACAGCTGGCCTGATGTAGCAAAAGTGCTGACTTCTGCTTGCAAGGAGAACGAAGGGTTGTTTGGCCTTGGGTGCATCCTATCATTCACTCGCTCATTTTACAAAGGACTCATGCTCTGTGGTGCTGGTATTGCCTCTGCTACAAGCAGGGCGGGGGGGGGGGGGGGGGGCATCCTTTGGCAGGCCTGGCAACAGTGGACACTGGCCTTGCCTGCTCTAAGGTGCAGGCTTTTCTGTCTCTGAGCTTATGGTTCTAGACCAAGGTAGCCATGGAACTCATGGAGAAGGGTTGGGGTGGGCTTCAGGAAAGCAAGGGCTACGTAGGACCCAGAGAATAAGAAGGACTGACTAGAGCAGCATTCTGTGCCTGTGAGGAGGATGCAGCCCCTGGGAGGAACGGGAAGGAGGCCCTGTGGCTGGAGAGTAGAGACTTAGGGTAACAGAGATGAGGGGCTGGCAGGGCTGACTCTTCAGAGCAGGGCAGCATCCTAAGTACCAAGTAGGCAGTCACAGGGTCATTAGGTTGGAAGTGACAGTGGCAGGGGAGAAGCCTAGAGAGACACTGTACTCTATGCCCAGGCCAGAGGTGATGTATCTTTCATGCAGGCAGCAGCCACAGGAGGAGAGAAATGCACAGTGATTGTGAGTAAGCCAGCCATGTGGAGTCCCAGGAAGAGTTCTTTCCCTTCTGCAGACTAACACATGAGTAAAAATAGCCAGAAGAAAAGCAAACTCCCAAAATCTTTATATTAAAGTTGATCACAAAAAGAACAGAATGGGAGAGACTGAGAAAGATGGAATGCTTCAAGGACCACAAAACTGCCAAAAAGCCAGCAGTCTGAAGCCATGTTAATAGATGCCTAATCACACACACACACAAACACACACACACACACACACACACACACACACACACACACGAGAGAGAGAGAGAGAGAGAGAGAGAGAGAGAGAGAGAGGTCATCCTTTGTGATTTTCTAGAACTTCTGAAGAAGAGCAGTCAAGCCTGGTAGTGCACACCTGTAACACCAGCACTTGAGAAGCTGGGTTAGGAGAATTGCTGCAGAGTGAGGTCCTGTCTGTCAAAAGAAAGGAGAATCAGGTACAACACGACTAGAGGAGGGGGTCAGTGTAGCTCAGCCTAGAGGAAGCAATGTCCAGGGTCCTTGAGTGCAGCCCACGGGCTCTGCATTCCTATCTGGGAGTGTAACAAAAGGGCAAGACTTGGACCCTGGTAGCAGGGGTCTTCCTGGGCAGCAGAGCACTGCTCGGTGGGGGCTAGTCTTCTCTCCCAGGCTCACCCCTGCTGGGAGGGGCTCATTTGAAAGGGTAAGTTACCTGTCTTGGGGTGTATATGACTAGCACTTGACTCTGCAGAGGGGCATCCTGCACCCAGTGGGTGGGGCTGCACCTGAGCTCCTTCTCTGTCTTCCAGCAGTGCCCCAAACCTGTCTAAAGCAGCAGGAAGGATTTTCCGCACCGCCAGAGGGAAAGACATCCATCTCTTTCTGACAAGTCCTCCAGGAAGTGCCAACAATGTACCAGGTGCTGCCCAGAGCCCAGAGCTTCTCAGGGTGGGGTGCTCAGGTTTGGGAAGGCCCGGGGGTGGGGGGGAACTTGGCTCCAAAAAATTCCTTGACTCATACATAATACCAAGTAGATACTATCAGAATCTGCCTGCTGGGCCTGCCCCAGACTCTCACAGTGGCAGTGGCAGTGGCAGTGACCCGGAGGACCTGGAGGACAGGGTGGGTTTTGAGAGCAGAGAGGTTGGACATGACCTCTAGCTCCCGACTCAGTCCATGCCATAGGGCACCTGTCACCAGTATGGGACGTGCTCCACAGCATCCAGGGCCATCTCACTCCACATGCTGTCTCCCGGTGTTGAGCATCACGGTTTTTGTTCATGCCCCCAGCTGGGAGCCACACTGAAACTATCTGAGCTTCTTCTCAACACGATCAGGACTTCCTGCTTGTTGGGGTGGATCACCTCTGCCGAGCCCTCCTCAGGAATGTGCCTCTGTCTAGGAATGCACCACCCGCCAGGATCTTGGGTCTATTCATCTCCTGCACAGGCCTGGCCTACGCCAGAAGGACACTGTTTTTTGGTACATTGTTTTCTAGCAAGGCTGGCATGACTGACCCTGGCTCCTAAGTGAGGCTTTTGCTGGCCACCAAAATGGAAGCCACCCCATTGGTCACAGTTTCCAGCTGCCAACAGCTACCTCTCCAGTTCCTACCAGCCATCTCCCTTTTGCAGTTCCCACCTGCCAATGATCGTAGTTCCCACAGTCACCTCACCAGTTCCCACTAGTTATCTCCCCAGTTCCCACCAGTCATCTCTCTCAGTTCCCATCAGTCACTGCTTAGTTCCCACAGTCACCATCCCTCCAGCTCCCACCAGTCAGTACTTCCAGTTCCCACCAGTTACTTCTCCCAGTTCTCACTAGTCACTTCTCCCAGTTCACACCAATCATTGCTAAGGATCAGCTGGTGACCACCAATCAGAATAAGTCTTGAGAATTAGGTGTGAAGTGAAGATATGTTGGTTATTTCTCACCAGAGACGAACATAGCTGTGGACAGACTTCTGGCCAGCTTAGGAAGTTGAGTCTGGTACCAACTAAGAAAGTAAGCTGGGAAGTAGCTATGTGTGCAGTTGGTTCCTGTAATAGTATGTGTGCCCAGGATCAAGCTGGACCTGGATTCATTGCCACAGGACACTTCCATTCCAGGAACCAGTGAGTTCTGGTCCTTGAGCCAGCTTGAGTTGTGTTAATACACTGTGTGTGTGTGTGTGTGTGTGTGTGTGTGTGTGTGTGTGTGTGTGTAATAGTTTGGGGTCACAAGCAACATGCTCTGGGTTGCTAAGAACTGGTTTGCATATTAAAAAGGACTTGGGAGCAGGTAAGGAGGTGCCAGTGGGTTAAGCCTTGATGCAGGAGTGGGGAACAAATTTGAATTCCCAGACCCCACACAGAACTGGGCATAGTCACATGTACATCTGAATCTGTGTGCTCATTTAGCAAGACTCCTCAGAAGCTAGCCAGCCAGCTAACCCAGTGTATGTCACAATACAGAGTAAATAGACCCTCTCTCAAAGAAAGTGGAAGGTAGAAGGTGAAGAGTGACACCTGTCCTCTGACCTCCACACACGCATGCCCCACAGAACATGTGCACCTGCACACACATCTATGCACAACACAGACTCACAGACACCACCACCACCACCACCCCTAAACTTTAAATCCAAAGGGCAAGGGGGAAATCAAGACCTTGGGGTCTG